ATTAACTCATTGTCAGTGAGTTTGGCTTGGGGGTTTTATAGGTCACAGGAACACAAATGAATCATCAGGAAGCATCAGCAAATTAGAGGACAAATCCTTTGGATTAATTTGTACACAGAAAAAAGAATGAAGACTATGAAAGCCTAAGAATTATGTGGGACAGTTTCTTTAATACATGGTGCTGGAAAAAGTGGATGTCTATCTGCAGAAAAATGCAACAGGACACCTATGTCACACCATACACCAAACCTAACCGAAAATGGCTCACAGGCCTAAATATAAAACCTAAAACTATAAATAACATGAATGAAAAAAATAAGGACAGCACTAGGGGCATATAACCTATAGTAGAAATGGAATAACAACCGTAACTAAATGTATAAGCCACAGACGATGAACTATATAAATAAAGCATCTATTCTTTTCCAAAGGTTCCCCCAGAAGAGTACAAAGAGAACCTTCTGACTATAGCATATCAGAGAAGGGTCGAATCTCTAAAATTCATGGAAAACTTCGACACATGTACACGAGGGCGGAATCACTCCTATTTGGCCACACCAGGTGATAGACACTTCACCTGGGAACGCTGCTTTATTTGCCTCAATATGGCTGCTCTATATAGTTTCAGTTGGCAGGGCACCAGCAATTTGTTACTTTCTGTGTTGGCTCTTTTTTGTGCAGTCTCTTCTACTTGGCTCTCGGTGCAATTCTTCAGCTTTGTCTTTGAAAAGTGATATGGTTCTATACACCAAAAACCCTCACTCAAGGTTTTGAAGTTACCATCTATATCGAATCAATTTGTTTTCTCAGGTCTTTTCTGTAAGCGGGAATTTATGAGGCATCTCACTGTACTTCATTTCGAAGGTCCCCTAACACAGGTGTTTTGAAGAACACAGGTGGGGCAGGGAGTCCTACACCAATGGTTATCAAAGTGTTTTCCAGATCAGCAGGCTGAACATCAACTGAGAACTTGTTAGAGATGCATATTCTCAGCTCTCATCCCAGACATACTGAATTAGAAACTCTGGGGGCAGGATCCTTCTGATGATGCTCATGTTGCTAAGGCTTGAGAAGCAATTGGTCCTTGATGAAGATTGACAGTATCTGGCAAGAAATAAGAACAAAGAGTGATCATTCATCTAAGGTCAAAACTCATGGTTTCCAAATGCAAAGTTGGCATGCCTCTCCAGTGAGCTAGTCTTCTCAACCTCAGTCATTTTCTCTCACTGTCACACCTTAGCATGAACTTTAGTTCATGGGCTGCTAACCTCAAGGTCACCAGTTCAAAACCACCAGCCATCTCAGAAGGAAAATAAGGCTTCTACTCCCGTAAAGAGTTACAGTCTCAGAAACTCAAGAGGGGCAGATCGACATTGACCTATTGGGTCACTGAGTCAGCCTCAATTTAATGGCAGTGATTCAAATCTTAGAGCTTGAATTTACTGATAACTTCAAATGCCCTATACACTTTGATTTCACGCTACCTACTACCTCCTCATTCAGTCTCATTCTTGTACCCGACTACAGGAACTGTTCAACGGACTTTAAACCTTTGCTCCTAACAACTTTCATCTCCCCTTTCCTTAATATCCTCTCTCACTTTTTATTTAGCATAAATTCTCTGGTCATTTGCTCTAATCATTCTTTTGCATATATCGCAATTCTCTTACTGTTTTCTCACTTAGCAAACCAAGAGACAACTTTTCACCTCCTTTAAATTCATAACCACAATAGGACCCATAATTTTGCCCCACAACTATAACATGCAGCCTTTGTCCATTCACTTTCCAACTCACTGAGACAAATAGCCCACCCTTTTTAATTTTTTTTAAATCCACCATCAAACCCACAAACACCCCCGCATTCTTGTTATACTGATGAGTTTGCTTTTCTGAGAAGATTGGCACACATAAGAAAGGAAATTCCAATGATTTCCCACTAGATCTTTGCACTACGCAATCTGTGATGTATACTCAAACTTGCTGCCTCATCCCCACTATCATGACCCCTGTCTTGCTTTCCACTTCGGGCTAGGTTGGAGCCTGTACACAGGTACAGATAAGAGTTCACGACACACGGAATCCAGGTGAGATAAACCCCTCCGGAACAGAAATGAGAGTAGTAGCGATTCCAGGAGGGTAGGGGTAAGGTGGGGAAGAGGAGGAGAGGAAGGGGGAGCCTATTGCAATGATCGACACATAACCACCACCACCACGACCCTTGGGGGCATGAACAAAAGAAAGCATGGGGGAAGGGAGACAGTGGCTGGTGTAAGATAGGAAATTAATAATAATTTTTAATTTATCAAGGGAGTTGGGAGTGGGGAAGGAGGGAAAAAAGGAACTGATACCAAAGGCTCAAATAGAAGGTAAATGTTTAGAAAATAATGATGGCCATGTGTGTACAAATAATGTTTGATACAACTGATGTATGGATTGTTATAAGAGCTGTAAGAGCTTCCCCAAAAATGATTTATTAAGATTAAAAAGAGCCTCCAATAAAATACTTTTAAAAAATTGGACCCCTTTCATTGTAGTTCTCTCCAATCTCCTTGCTCCTTGTCTTTCTTTACTTTCATAGTACTTACTACCTTCTAATATATGGTATAATTTACTTTCATTATGTTACTCATTTACCTATCTTCCTGCCCTCCTCCCCCTACCAGGTTATCCGAGCCAAAGGGGAAGGGAGTTTGTTTTTTCCCCACTGATATTTCCCAAGAACTACACCTGGCACACAGAAAGCATGCAGTGCATGTTACAAGAACAGGATAGACCATTTCTCCATAATTCACGTGATCTGAGAGAGTGAGGCTGTAGTTGTATCATTGAATTAGGGAGATTATTACTTACATTTTCTAATACGATTCCTGCGGAGGTTTTTTTCTGTAGAACAGTGAGGATAGGAATCAGGAAGGTTCCCAGAGAGGTAAGGGTATGTGTGTGAGTGTGTAGTTAAATGCATAAATAATGTGATTCCTCGAGTCTAAAATTATTCCTCAGACCTAAGAGCAAGACAAGCTAAAAGTGAATTAGGGTGTGGGTGTGTGTCTAATTGTTGGAAACTCAACAAAATACGGGAAGGAAACCTATCTGAAACTCAAGACTCCGGAAGGCCACCACCCAGACTCCTTCATAAACAGAACAGAACTGTATTTCCTCAGACAAATCCCTCAGCACACATTTGTCTTTTTAGCTTCGTTGTAAACATGTCTGTAAAATGATGTCTCTTTTCTTACGTAAAATCTCTTTTAGGCATACTTGTCAAAATTTTTATACTTTTTTTCCCTTTCCTTCCCACCCCCTTTCTTTCTATTTTAACAATAGCTTTTAGTCTATTGCTATATATCTAGCAATGCATGTAGAACTTAAAGAGTATTAGAAACTATATATAAGAGAAAAAGTCATTAATTCTATCACACTGTCATAATCTGGGTTAATATTTTCATAAATATTCTCCCAGGGTTTTTGTACAAGGATGTGCGGTTTGTTTGTTCTTTTAAAGAAAACCTGAGATAGCATTATACATATTCTCTCATCATGTGACATCTATATTCTTTTTTTAATGGCATTCAATTTCAATTTACTTATTAAAACTAGAGGGCATATAATGGATTTTAATATAGTTTATCTTCTAGTCATAGATTCTGTATTCCAATTGAGTTACAAATCATTTCAGGATTTTTAAAGAAAATTTCCTTACATGATTAAAAAAAAAATCTCTTTGCTGTAGAAGGAAACTAAGCAACCACTTAACAGTTTTCTTTTTAGATCCAATTATTTGTATTGGTGGGATGGCGGTGGGGAAGTTCAGAAATAGGAAGCGACAATCTAGATAGACAGTCTGAAATATACTTATATATTTAAAATTGAAAGTGTCTATTTGGTAACTTGAAGCAACCATTACAGACAGCATTGTGTTTCCTCCTCGGCCATATTGCTTAGATAGTCAAAATCAGAGTTTCCATCAGAGGTTCACGGAATTTTTTAATATCATAACTGCAGTAAAATTCCTATAATAAAGTGACCTAACAGAACTATCTATATTTATTCACTTAAGCTTGATCACAAGATTAAATCTCTTGATCATCTATTTAGATTGGGGTAAAGTTGTACAAAGTTTTTTTGGTAGGCATCAACCGTTCATTCGGAGCTCATCTAGGTTTGAATTAATGTATCCATAGAGAGCCCTGAAGGGGCATTGGTGGCTCAGGGGTAGAATGCCCAGCTTCCATAAGGGAGGCCCAGACTCAGTTCCTGGCCAATACATGTCACGTGCAGCCACCACCCAGGGGCATTTTGCAGGTTGCTCTAATGTCGGATGGGTTTCAGCAGAGTTTAAAGAACAAGAAAGGACTGAAAAACTATTTCTGAAAATTAGCAAGCAACAGAATCCTGTGACTCCCAATTGTCCAACCAACAAGGGATCCTAAAAAAAACGACAACGGAGAGTGCTGACAAGGCAGGGATCTAAGAGTAAGAGCAGCATGGTGGGTGCTTCTCTGCATTTCACAGCGTGGCCTGTGCTGGACTGAACACCTTGCTTGGGAATGAAATGTGAAGCCCCTCCACTTCTGGCACTCATGATATTGGACTGAAGTTAACAGCTTTCTCGGCCTCTTCTGCAAAACAATGGACTCCTTGTAAACTAAGACTGGAAATAATAAGATACATAACTACATTTATCTGCCATTTGTGAAGGACTTACAACAGACAGGCATGTGGGCTTTGCATTATTGTGTTTTCAAGTTCACAATTCTGTGATATGTTACCTCCTCTTACAGACAGAAAATGAGGGAATATAGTATAGTGTCACATGGTTATTGTGTGAAAGAGCTATAATATTTCTAATTCACTTTGGGGTTTAGCCAGCAACATACTTGTTGAGATAAGCTATGAAGGGTGAAGTTAGGAGGTTTAAGATATTTGTTGCCTAGTTAAATATAAGGTCAACTTATAGGGACATGTGAAAAAATGTATTATGTTTGTTTCTCTTTCCAGAGGTAATTTTAGCCTGCAAATACTCAAAGAAGACACTTTCATCCCGGTTAGAATGGAAGAAACTTGGGCGGAGTGTCTCCTTTGTCTACTATCAGCAGGCTCTTCAAGGTAAGAAGTCAGGCACTTAATGAGCAGAGAACGAGAGTGCAGCAGATTCTTTAATCTACAAATGAGAACAGAACATGGCTGATTAACAAAAACGTGTTTTTATAAGTGTGAGATGAACCGACAGTGACTAAGACCTATACACCATGGCCACAGAAACAGGACAGAGGTCAAATATAGGTGAATCCCATTGAGTGCCTCGACCCCTTCGTTTCTTACTTCACTTCCAAAGGATGCAAGATATAATCGTTCTTTCTGCCCCATGGATTAAATTCTTGGGAGGAAGGAAGAAAATATGGTGTGGAGAAGGGAGTGCTCAGTAATAATAATGTAGCTGACTTCCACACCACCTCGCCATCCTTCCATTGAGAAAGTATGGAGTAATAATGTGGCCGACTTCGACACCTCCATCCTTCCATTGAGAAAGTATGGAGTAATAATGTAGCCGACTTCCACACCTCCATCTTTCCATTGAGAAAGTATGGAGTAATAATGTAGCCGACTTCCACACCGCCATCCTTCCATTGAGAAAGCATGGCCATCTCTGAGAAGCTTTCGGAGTTAAGATTTATGGGAAGGTAATTACAACTACCATTACCAAATGCTTAAAGAAAAACCAAAAAAAACCTTTGTTATACATTTTTCCAGTCCTATTCTTCCTGTTGAATTTGTCCTGAACTTTTCATTTAAGATGTTGACAACAATATATTAAATACTATAATGTCTTAGATTTACTTTCAAGTAATTCAGTTGTTAGGCATGGAGACAAAATAAGACAAGCCATTGGTTGACTAGTTTTACAATGTGTGATGGATATTGCTATAGCTAGGTAACATGGGGTGTACTTTCCTGTACTCTCTAATTTTGTGCATACTTAAAGTGACCCACATAAAAAGTTGAGACTAGTATTTTAAATTATTATAAGCTTTGTTTTAAAATGCTGTGTTGATTTTTAAAGAATTAAATAAATAAAACACTAAAAAAGCATAGAAAAATTTATATATCACCCCAGGTATTTATCAGTCAAGACAAGGTTATGGGTTTCCAGGTACTAAGCTTTTAGCAATCTCATCTGACTTATCTACTGTTGCCCAATTTGGCAGCTGCACTTTATAAAACTATTTTAATTCAGTGCACCTTACCATAGCTCTATAAAAAATAATGAAGTAGTATTTTTAAGGTTCCCTCATCTTTTCTTCTCTAGCAATATTATATGAGCAACTACACACTGCGTTACTGCTCTGACAAATGGAGCCACTTTCTTGTGTCTTTCTGAAGATGAGGCTATTTTCCCAAGGCAAGAATGAAGAACAAACACTTTTAACAAATAAAATATGGAAATGGGAAAGAGAATTCTTGTTTTTGAATAGTAAGCTATTCACAAGAAGAAAGAGTTAAACTGAAAATAGCATGTATTTATTATTTTTCAATTTAAGTGTATTAAAAGAAAAATAATTTTCTTCACTGAATGAAGTAACTTGAGAGAATGATTGCATGGAAAGTCGCTTGCTTTGGTACCACATTTATTTTTTGGTTTTGGCTTTTTCTAAAAGGTGATTTCAAAGACCGAGCCGAGATGATAGATTTTAGTATACGGATCAAAAATGTTACAAGAAATGATGCTGGGAGATACCGTTGTGAAATCAGCGCGCCAACAGAGCAAGGGCAGAACTTGGAAGAGGATACCGTCACTCTGGAAGTCTTAGGTGACCTGCATGTGGATCTTTCTCTATGCCCTCCACCCTCTCCCTACCCATGATCCTTGGGAGCCAATGAGGCACTGTGGCCTTGACCAGGGATTGTGAAAGCAACTCACAGAAACCGCAAGTGACACCTTCGTGCAAGTCCCTGGCTATTTCTCCCCATCTCCTCATAGGCTATGGGAACTTCCCTGCGAAAAATGCATTACTGCAAATTCTCTCTTCTGAAGTGGAGGTAATTCCCAGTGGTTCATCACTGCACCAGGACCATTACCCCAAGAATTCCTTTTTCAAAAGCTTCACTCATATGTAGGCTTTTTCCTAAATTGGGATAACAGAAGAAGAGCAGTAAAATATAATAAAATGGTATCTAAGACCAAGGAAAGATTTTGATCAGATTGGAAATTTGGATTTATTGTGCAGCTAATATGTATCTACCCCTTTCACCCTTGTGATTTTACTTGATCGTCACAGGTAACTTGACTCTTCGAGATGAGGAAATAGATTCTAAATGATTTTTTTTCACATTTGCACAGCTAGTAAGTTCTGCGCCAGTGTTTCTATCCAGATGGAGTTAATGCCAAAGTCTGTAATCCCTTTACAGCTACTGTCCTACATTTAGTTAGTATGAGGCACTGATACATGCATATTAAAGGCAACAACCTAGTGGGAGCAAATGAAAGCTTTCTCTGTCATTGATGTTAATGTAAGAGAAGGAAATGATTTCTCTTCCTTTACAAAGAAATGTCCTCCAGGCACTTCCTGGAGTATCAATGATATGCATTGTTGTTGTTGTTGTTGTTGTTGTTAGGTGCCATCGAGGCTGTCCCAACTCACAGCAATTCTGTGTACAACACAAGGAAACACTGCCCAGTCCCGGTCAGTGCCCTCCTTTGTTGATCTCATGGTTGAGCCCACACAATACAGCCACTGGGTCAATCATCTTATTGAAAGTCTTCCATTTTTTCAGTAGCCTAGCGCTTTCTCATGGTTTGATGCTCTCAGTAGGGTTTTCTGGGGCTAATTCCTCTAAAGAGGGCAGCCCATTCCTTCTTCTTACTCCATTCTTAGTCCAGAAGCTCTGCTGAAACATGTTCATTTTGGATGACATTGCTGTTATTTGACCCACTAGTGACACATCACAGACTTCAGCTCACAGCAACACCCAAGCTGCCACAATACAACAAAGTGACAGATAAGTGGTGGTCATTAACTATCCACTTCTCTCTACCTTTTCTGTAAGATCAAGTGTAGTATCATTTGCTGTTGCTTCCAACCAGTTATCACAATCTTGGTGACTTAAAACAGCACCCATTTATTAGCTCATCATTTTGTGAGTCATGGCTAGGTTTTCTGCACAGATATTACAAGGCTGAGAGTTGTCACAAGGTATAACAATATGTAGATCAGGCTAACTTCTCTTCTGGCACCTCCGAGGGAAATTTCCCTTCTAAGCATATCCTTGCTATTAGCAGAGTTTCTTCTTAGGTGGATACAGGACTGAGGTCCCCATTTCCTTGCTGGTTGTCAGCATGGGGACCACTCTAACTCTATGAAGTTTCCCAATTGCTTACCAGTTGACCTCCACCATCTTCAGTCCAGCAAAGGCAGGGGCATCCTTCACGTAACTAGAATCTCTGATTTTACCATTTGTGAAGAGCTAGAGAAAACTTTTTTTCAATAACTTATGTGATTAGATCAGACCTATCTGTATAATGTCCATACATTAAGATCAGTTCATTTGGGATCTCAGTTTATATATACACATATATATATATATATATACATATATATATATATATATACATATACACACACACGCACACATTTTTTCAAAGTCATAGCTATATTATTTGATTGAATAGCTGAAAATTGGCATATGTATACTAGGAATGTTTTAGAACCTAGAATATTGCCTACTTCCACCACTTTGGGGTTTTCCTGGGTATTAGATCACGTAGTAAAATCTGGTTTACTTTAAATGTCCCTAGGACCAAAGTAACCATGAATAATGGAACAGGTATCCTAAATTGGCCAGCTCTAGATGGAATGGGATTTTAGTTTGAGTCCAGGTCTGAAAAGTATACATAGGTTTGGTGTCTATTGAATATAGTTGATAAAATATTAAAACACTTGGTAAGAGAAAACAAGTAGAGACTGTTGCCATATAATTGTTTATTATACATTGTAAATAAAATATATAATACGCTAAGGTAAGGCTTGCTGTTATAACAAATAGGTCCTGAATGTACATGGCTTAAAATAATACAAGTTTCTTTCTCACTTAAGTGAAGTCTAATAATTAGGGTAGAGGTAGCAAGAGATGAGGAAGTGGAATTGTATTATTCTATTTTTGTAAATCATTAGAGACTCAAGATAATACAGATTCTGATATCTTCAATATATAACTTAACAAAATCATAAAGTAGTGCAAGCAGGCAAAGAGCGAAAGATTGGAGAATCATGCAGGAGGTTTTTCTGAGTCAGGCCAGGAGGTTTCTACCTAGGTAGAAAATGACATGCATTTGTTGAAAAAACTAATAATAACCACAGGTGTCCAATAAATACATCTTTACCTGGCTGTTAAAATCATATTTAACATGCAAATTAACCAATGCCTTTTGACTTCCATTGTTCAGTGGCCCCAGCCGTTCCAGCATGTGAAGTGCCCAATTCTGCTCTGAGTGGAACAGTGGTAGAACTACGGTGTCAAGACAAGGAAGGGAATCCAGCTCCTGAATACACATGGTTTAAGGATGGTGTCCGCTTGCCAGAGAAACTAAAACATGGCCCCCAAAGCACGAACAGCTCATACACAATGAATGCAAAGTCTGGAACTCTGGTAAGGTCATTTCAAAGCATATCGTGCATTTGAATTTTTAAAATTATATCAGAAGTAAAATGACAAGGAATAAAGAATTGATACATTATTTGGCTAAGTGCGGGGCAAGGATGTGTTAGCAGGGGACAAGAGGGTTGTAGCTGCCAAGCAAAAGCATGACACATGCTGGGGACCTGAGCACCGGTCTGCACTAGTGACCGAAAGCAGGGACGTTAGAGCTTGGTTTACTATGATACAGCTATCTTGCTGGTTACAGAGCTCCTGAATGCAGTCTCCTATTTATAACGCAAAGGCAAGTCATAAAACGTGAAAGTGCTCTTGAAGATGCCAGTGGGATGATGTTTGTATCATTAAATTCTTTCATGACACTAGATCATTAATAGTTGATTCTGGGACTTGGGTAGCTTTCTACTGTAGATGTAGCCCCCTGCTGTCAGGGCAATTTTGCCTCAGAGCAGCCACATATGTTAAAGAGTAGAACTGCTTCATAGGTTTTTCCTGCTGTAATTTTCTCTCTCAAAACCATTCTGTATCTTGCTGTAATCTTTACAGATGCACATCACCAGGCCTTTCTCCCATAGTGTCATTTAGTGGGTTCAAATCACTTGCCTTCAGGTTTGTAGTTAAATACAAATTGTTTGGGCTACCTAGGCTTAGATGTAACCTGGACTTTCTAATTGTTTCCTCTTTAAACTATCGTAATTGAAAAGCTGTTCTAAGCGTACTGATTGGAATCTCTGAACGCGCTCTTGCAAGTTAAGGGCATTTTATTAAAAAGTCTTTTTATTTTCTGATCTATGACTTTTGGGGATAGAGATGGGAGTTAAAAAAATCATTAAGCTTAAATATTTTTCCCCCAATCAAAGCAATATCATGTCATTTAAAAAGTATGACTTTCAGCAATGCAGTCACCATCACAGCCATTATCCCAAAATTTTAAAGTCATGATAAGAATATTTTACTAAGTTTTAAAAGGAATGTCTATAGCTGAACCAGGGGCTCAAGTGGAAAGTGGGTGTCGTAGGAATGATGAAGTCAACGTATGTACTAAAGTGCTGGACACACATGACCTATATACAGATTGTGATGAATTGTATGAGCCCCTAATAAAATATTATTGAAAAACTAAAAAAAGGAATGTATAAAGTTTCTTTTCATTCTTTCCATCTGAGAGCACACACTAACATTCAGAAGTGAGGTCCTCTGGGAAACAGTAAAGCATCCTGAGGGTAGGGCTCAATAATCAAGCGGAAGCCCCCAGGTGGCGGCCTCTTGAGGAAGGGCCTGGCTTGGGCTCTTGGGGTGGCTAGCGGTCACAGTCAGCAGGCCAAGCTGACCTGACACTGAGAAATTGGGCAGAGAACTTGCTGTCACACTTGGCTATATTTACTTTTTGAATTTATTTTTTTCTCAGAGCAGGTGCTAAAAGCTCCAAAGCAAGTCTGAAATGATATAGATTCACTTTCCTCAGCTAGCCTCAGCCCTTGAAATACCTTGTGATGTCAAAGGGATGCACCAGGGTAGAATGAGGATGGGTCCTGTTGTGAGAAATGAGCAGCACAAACTCCAGTGTATGTGTAATGCTGACTTCCTTTTAATTTCTGATTGGAATGTACTTAATTTCCAATTATAATGTGCTACTAGGTCATTTTTTATTAGTCTAACATTATTTATACATCATTTTAGCCCTGAGCTCCTGGTGAATCTGCTTGAGTTAGACGTAATTACTGGTAATATGGCCCTTCCTTCTGTTATGCTATGATTCTGGGGTTCCTCACAAGCTGGACCAATAAGCAACACCATGATAAATGAAGAAAAGATTGACATTGTCAAGCATTTCATTTTACTTGGATCCACAATCACTCCCTATAGAAGCAATAGTTTACAAATTAAGTGACATATTACATTGAACAAATATGTTGCAAATGGCTTCTTTTAAAGTGTAAAGGACAAAAAATGTCACTTAAGGGGTGTCAGATTGAGGGGTGTCCTCAACACTCACACAGATCCTCAGGAGCGACTGGACTTGTGGGAAATAGTAAGGACAGACAGACTGTGAGGCACAGGGGCTCCTCGTTCCATGTCAGGACTGAGGGAGCGAATGTATTTTCCAATGGGGCTTACAGATCTTTCATAAGGCGTGCACGTCATACAGCTAACATATGACATAGTTAATAGGTAATACCATAAGTGGGTAACATAATAAACCAGCAATGAGGTGAGTCATTGTCTTGACCTCGTGCTAGTTGACTTTGACCCCCTCTGAGCCATCCCAGGGGTAGCAATCTCTGATCAGTATCAGCAAGAGATGTCAAAACAGAGTTTGCTACATTTTCAGTGGGTTGGCTATAGAACCTGATTGCTTTTATTTACCGATAACATTTAGGTGTTGTGAGGTAGCCAGACACAGAAATGATTTATCATATATGGTAGCTCTTTTATGACAGTTCCTTTCTGGGGGGGGGGGCAGTATTGGAGGGGCTCTGTCCAAACATGAGAATGTATATTAAGATTTATTCATAGCTCATAACTTATGAGCATGGATGATTTCGCTGCATGACATTCTCATCCAGTCCCTCCGTTTACCACAGTAAGGCTAAGGTATGCCTGACCCCAGCCATGGGATTTTTAATTGCTTCATATGCTTGTGAGAACTGGATAATGAGTAAGAGAGACTGGTCTGAAGAAGAATGGATGCCTTTGGATTATGGTGTTGGTGAAGAATATTAAGTATACTGCGGACTGGCAGGAAAGTGAACAGATCTGTCTTGGAACAATGCACCTTCGAAGCGAGGATGTTCCGAATGAGGGCATATTCCTGTGGGGACCAGTCCTTGGGAAGGTGCAGTATGCTCGGTAAAACAGAGAGGGTCAGCAGCTAGAGGAAGTGCCTCAACCAGATGGAGTGATACAGTGGCTACAACAGTGGGCTCAAACCTAGCAACGCTTGCGAGCGTGGTGTGGAGTCAGGCAGTGTGTTTTCTTGTTGCTGTCCATGGGGCCACACTGAGTTAACACGGACTCGATGGCACCTCCCGACAATGGGCTATAATTTTCTTTTAAATATAGACTACGTACTTAACCATTAAGCAATCCTGATGGCACTGTTGTTAAATTACTTGGCTGCTGATGTAAAGGTCAGTTGCTTTAAACCACCAGATGTTCTGTGGGGAAAAGAAGTGGCCGTCCTTTTCTGTAACGACTGGAGCCTTGGAAACTCTGGGCTGCGATTCCAGTCTTATCTAGAGGGTCACTATGAGTCAGAAACCACTCCATGCCCCGCAAGAGCCTAATTATACTATCATTTCAGAATCACAAAAAAAGGATATTGCAAATACACACTTAAGTCTTTCTCTAGCAACTTAAACTGGAAGCCTATTGAATCCTCAGGGTTGTGATGAATTTTTGAATGCACAGTAGAGATTCGAAGTCTTCAGCTGTTTAAAGAAAACATGAACCTTATACTGTAATTAAGGGAACATGGTTATTTTTTTAATCTACCTGTAGTTTATTTCGTTGCTCAAAAAATGTTTGTATTCTTTCCTTCCACACATAGCAATTTAACACTGTTTCAAAACTGGACAGCGGAGAATATTCCTGCGAGGCCCGTAATTCCATTGGCTATCGCAGGTGTCCTGGGAAACGAATGCAAGTAGGTAAGCATAAACTATCGGGGTGTCAAATGGTTAGCAGTTGTTGTTGCCAGTGCTATGGACTCATAAGGAACGTTTGTATAACAGAACGAGCCAGTGCCAATCCTGCACCATCCTCACACGTGTTCTTACGGTTGAGCCTCCATGCAGCGGCTGTGTCCACCTTCTTGGCGAAGAGCTGCCTGGTTTTGTCGTCCTGCTACTTTGCTAAACATCATGCCATTCTCCAGGGACTGGCCTCTCCTGGTGACCCTGCTAGCATGGGTTATGTTTAGATCCATTCACACTTCCTTGAGTCCCATACCCAGAGCCTGCTAACACTTGCCTCCTGTGACAGGAGGTACCTTATTGCCCATGTCTTCCTTATATTCAACATTTTACCAGTGACTTGAATGATTTTCAGGGTAGGTCCCAATTTGGAAAAATACTAAGCTTAGAGAGTTGATAATCCAATTTGGAAGCAAATGAATTAGCGTCAGAGAAATTCCCAAGATTAGGAACATAATCGTGATTTCAAATTTGGGTCGAAAATATCCTATTGTTTGAGGATAGAGGAGATAAGACTTTATTACAACATGAAACCTCAAGGGATCTCATGTCTTTTTCTCCGGGGGTGGCAGTTGAATGGCATGGAGTGCACCTGGGCACGCACACACACACATTTAAGCAAGATGCTTCTGACACGGCTCAGTATAGAGTAACAGTGGTTCAGGTTTGGGGGTTGAGTGAGTCTTCCATTACTACAGGAATTGCAGTAGCAGATGGTATAGAGGAATTTAAAGTAAAATTTAGTTGTAGTAATAGATTACCACAATTTCTTGGAAATTGCCCAATTTTCAAGATTGCTTCGGTCCTATGAATTGATATTCAATCCCATGAATACTGTGAATACAATTATCATTGCATGTTCCGATGAGTATTAGTAAACAGCATAAATTTTATCTTTGGCCCGTCGTACTTTTTCTCAATGGAAGATTCTTGCAAAGCTTTGGTAATACTTTTCAATTAACTTTGGTTCATGTCTAAGCATGAGTTCATTGAACAGGCTTCAAAAGTATGAAATGATCCATGTATATGGGATAACCGTGGAAGGGGAGCTTTTAAGTAGCTTTTTTAATAACTGTCTGGGTCCATCTGTTTGGGGTTCATTGATGCGCTTTTGTTTCCTACTCCAGATGATCTGAACTTGAGGGGCATCATAGCAGCTGTGATCGTCGTGGCCTTAGTGATTTCTGTCTGTGGCCTTGGTGTGTGCTATGCTCAGAGGAAAGGCTACTTTTCCAGTAAGTGGATTGCATAGTTCTTTGATAGACACCCTAGAATAGACTTTTCTTAGTAGACACGGTTTTTCCTAAGAAATTTTCACAAATTGTGGAGAATACTTTGTATTGATTTCTCTCTCTTTTTTGGCAGTAGAAAGTGTCCAAGATGACATGCAGGTGGGTTATAAAGCACAGGGAGCAGAGGCAGAGCTGCCTCAGTGCTGGCTGTCAGGAACAGCCGAGACTAGATGAGAGGAAAGCCCGAGTACAGCTGCACCGTGAGAGGAACTCTGGGCGGGGCTGCTTATTCGTGGATATGCATGTGAAGATCTTTGGGATATTTTTAGGACTTGTCGATCTCGGTGTAAAAATCCATTTCCAGTTTTATGATAAGACATTTCATCAAAATAAACCAATGAAAAGTTTTACCAGTGTAGAATAATGAAATCTTTACTGCAAAGTTAGCACAACTGTTTTTCAGAAAAGAATTGTTCAAAAAGCAAACACTGAGAGCTATTGCATTAGAGTTACTTCTAAGACAGTTGTTTTGTTCTGTTTTTCTCCAAGTTTAGGGCTCTTTTACCTTCAAACCTCTATTTAGGGATGTGGAGTAGGTTTGCTGTCAGTGGGTGAGACATAAAAATAGGTATTTTATTCTCTTGATGAATCTCTGCACTCCCACTGTGAAAGTTATCCAGGCACTCAAAAGCTGCAAAACCTTTCTTAATTCCAGGGACACTAGTGTATTGATGGAGTAATAAACTCATTGCATGTATGTCAAGATACATAGTGAACATTAGTTTTGAAATTTGTTTTAAACATATTTTAAAATAAAACTTAAATGTAAATGGTTTCTATCCCCTTGAAAATATGTTCATAGGAACATTTTATGACACATATACATATTTGTGTCATATATACACATATTTATATATGTTCATAGGAACATTTTATGACACATATACATATTTGTGTCATATATACACATATTTGTATATGTGTAACACTTATATATACACATATTTGTATGTGTATATAAAAGTGTATATGTGTTATATACTTATAAGTGTATAAATATATGTGTTCCTATGAACATATTTTCAAGGGAATTGCCTATAATTGAGAATAACTCAAAAATGTAAAGCTCTACTTAATTAATAATGAAAAACTGACTGATCTATATACTAATTGTTCTTGTGTAGTAGTACGCCTATCTAGTCAAATGTGAGGTGAGTTTACCAATGGAATGCTATTGCGCTGCCTGCTGGTCATCAGTGGAAGTACATTCAGAGAGATTGCTCTGAAAATCCTTGTCATCTTTATACTTTCAAGGACTGTATGTCAGGGTATTTTAACGAGGCTCTGATAAAAAGGCTTTTCTTAAAATAACGAACTAATTAAAGAGAAGCCTTAGGTATTAGAAGGTCACTAGCTAATAATGCCTCTGCTGTTTTAAGTGGGCTGAATTCATGTTCAAAAGGAGCCATTTTCCTGAATTTATATTTTCAACAAGTGTAGAAACTATGGTCTATGAGCCAAATCTGACCTACTGCCTGTTTTTCAACGACCTATAAGCAAAGGGCGGTTTTTCCAAATGAATATTTGCAATCTATTTGAGGATAAGGTCCATTAACTTTGACCCCCATTTAAGAGTAATGTTTTCCCCACATAAGAACTGCATTGTTCTCATTAGCAGCCTGTAATACAAAATTTCCATTTTAATTATTAAACTTTGTTTCATCAATAAAAAAATCATTAAAATGTTGATGTTATAACAACCTACATAATATTTCTTCAATTTGGCGCTTGACCTATAAAATGGAAAATATTTACTATCCGAACTGTCCCAGAAAAATTTTGCCAACCCTGACTGAGAAGGTAAAAATAGGCAATGAGGATTGAGAGTGAACTAAAGAAAATTAGCTATTGCTTATTTTTATATAAATCTGTTAACGTGTCATATTAACTTCTGTATTAATGATGTGTACTTATTCTTTTGTAGAAGAACCTGCCTTTCAGTAAGTATACTTAAAACGCATGCCTATAACAACTTATTTTCTGTTTATCATTGATTTTTAATGTAAAATGTGGGATGTTGGGTTATTTGTGTAAGTTTTAGCCAATTGGAAAGTTATTCAAGTTCATTTAGAAATACATCAAAACTCACTTCTTATACCTGTTTGAATACCTTGAGTAGAAATAAGTTCAATCATTTCTATTAATAGGCATTTCTGTAGTATTTCTTTAAAATATATATTTCATGTACTGTACTAGATAGAAAATTGCCACTTGCATTTTACTTAGTCGGGTGCTTTTTTTTCATCAGCAGGTATTTATTGCATACCAATTCTGTGTTTTAAGAGTTTGGGATGTGGCTGGGAACAAAACTCAGAAAAAATAGCCATATCATGGAGCTTACGTTCTAGTAGAGAAAGGCAGAGGGTAAACAAATAAGCAAGCACTAGCATCAGATGGTGATAAGTTTTATGGAGAACAATATATTCATGTGGGGGGTAGGGAATATAAAAAGTGGGAGTGGAGATTGTCATTTTAAATAGGGCGGTCAGGGAAGATCTCACTGATAAGTCACAAAAATGTCTGACCATTCAAGAAGAGGGGAAGGGACAAATGGGAAGTCGAGGAGACCAGTGTGCACGGAGTATGTGAGGAACAGGAGACTACAGTAGTGTGATTGGAGCAGAGTGAGAGAAAGGAGCTAATAGGAGATAGCTGAGCCAAAGAGTCAGCTTGCGCAGGGCCCTCGCAGCCATTGTGAAGACTTTGACTTTGGTTCTGAGTTAGATTGGAAGTCAATCATGAGAGGGATTTGGACACACCTGTAGCCACCATCTTAACCCTAAATCAAAGGCTCACACCGACAGTTCTGTTGAGAACAGACTGTGAGGTGGCAGCGGGAAGCAACAAGGAGACCAGATAGGAAGCGATAACCCAGGCCAAAAGAGAGAGGGCCCTTGCATTTGAGCAGTGGGGTTAGGGATGCGATGTTGTTGTTATGTGCCATCCGGTTGGTTCTGTGCAGCAGAACCAAACACTGCCCATCCCTCTACCACCTTCATAGTCATTCCTGTGGCGGAGCCCATTGCGGCAGCCACTGTGTGTCCCCGTCTTCTAGAGAGATGACAATACAGTACTTAAAATCAGGCATGGGACATGTTAATAAGTAGAAAATACGGTCTGGATTTTATATAACATTTTTTCATATATGAAATCTCTAGGCGCATCGGGGTTTCTTGCACGACTTTGTCAATTTTAATCTATCAATATAATAAACGTATTAAGCGTTGCTGGCGTTTTTTCCACCTGGGTAAGAGAGATGTTTGTCTCCCTGCTGAAATGGATGAGGGTAACATGAACAGAGGATATGTGTTTCAGAAATGAAAGTGGCAATCTAGTAAACCTGATCTTTTATGTTTTCAAACAGGAAGAGTAGTTCGTCTAAAGTCACCACAATGAGTGAAAATGTGAGTCTTTTAAGTATATTTATAGAATAAATGTGTTTAGGGAAGTGGGCTGGGAAGTGAAGTAGCCACCTTCCCTTTGTACTGATCTCTAACCCTGCTGGTTAGAAGAAGCAAAATAAATGTTAGTTTCTTTCCTCTATCTGGTGTGACATGATTAAAATGCTCAGTATTTGTAGAGCAGTTATAAAAATTGATCTTTGCCCTGTTATTATTTTCATTCCTGTTGCTTTTTCTATTATTTGGCTTCTTTAAAGTGCAAAGTCTGACATTAGCGGCTCCCTTTTATTAGTGAGTAAGGAGACTCATGTTTCCACAATGGTGGTAAAGCTGGGGCCCAGTGATCTTGCTTCCTGGAAGCTTGACCACGAATCATTTCACACCGCTCCCAACAGATCTGTGGTTTAAGTGTGTCCTTCGGTTAATCAAAAACATTTGCACAAATTTAGGGGTTTGAATATTCTCTACTCCTGCTGAAAGGATCATTTCCAGAGTCCGGGGAAAGATGCAATGATTATCTAACTCTGTAAAAAGCAGAGTGTGGGAGAGGCATCAGACCACAAGGGGGAAGAAGAATTACTACTGTCATCTGCCCAAGGCTAATTCCTATAAGGCTAAGGCCAGACATACCTCCAGCCTTCCTTGCCAATCCTGACATCATCCCGCCCTGCCACAGCACACTCTGCTTTTCAGCTGGGCTCAATAACCAATTGCAGAGGCCTCAAAGAACTCACAGACTGTGCTCAAGAGGATGGAGTTTATTAGAGAAATTAATTTATGACACGAAAAGCAATGGCTAGACCAGTGGTCAGCAGACTGCAACTTGAAAGCCAAATGTGGCTCCTGCAGCATGTACAAGTGACTCTGAAGTGAAATTGAAAAAATATAAAAGGATATTATTCAGATAATGGTGATTCAATTTTTTTGTAAAAATGTATTTATAGCTCCTGAATTATTTTTTAATTTTTTAATTGTTGTGAGGGACAGAATTGGCTCTTCCATCTCAAAAGTTTGCCACTCCCTGGGCTAAATTATTGATGGATGTTAGAGTGGGAAATGGGTAAATTACTGGAGCGAAGGTGGGGTCTTAGATTCCAGGGAATCAATTATATATTCAACAGTTTAAACAGCCCAATAATTTTTTTAATAAAAATAAAAGAGGTGAATAAAAGAATATAGTTTCTCTTGGTCAAGAGTAACTCTTCTCACCCACTCCCCTAGGAAGGCCTCTCTCTCGTCCTTGGCTTCTCAGCCACGTGGCCCCTTTGGCCGCGGTCCTTCTCTGATGATGTTACAAAGATTCTTTATCTCAGCTTAATAATTCCTAAAGGCCACACCACCATAAACTTCAGCCTAAAGGTGCTCCTCTCTAGCCTGTGCATCAGGAGACTTAGCTCCCTGAATTAAGTGCATGAAGGAACCCCACTCAGAAAGCAAGCACATCTCCTGCCCGAAGACACGCGGCTTGTCTTGCTCCGTGGGTCAGGATGCCCACCACCACTCTGTCTGGTGCTCTGGCCTCGCTGCCACCATTCCTCTGGTACTTGCTCTCTGGCCCTGGACCAAGGAGATTCAACATACAGGATCTCAGGGTCCAAAAGATGCACTCCACTCATGACTCTTCATACCTGATGGTGGTGAGATGCCTCTTCTTTGATGGCTCATTTTATGATACCCAGAAGAATGGCAAAATCAGCCAATTCTACTTCCAAGTTTTTGCAATCACTATTATCCTGGTTACAGTCACTCACAACTGAATCATGAACCCTGTAGCAGCATCTTCCCTTACCTCTTCTTACCCAGTCCCATCAGGAATAAATCGTTCCCTGAGAGTTAAAAAAGACTATGGTTACAAGAGTCTAGTCAAGTGATTCACCGCACTGCAGATTGTGCAGGGAATACAGTTTAGACACTTAATGCTTATGTATTTTGCATTTGTAAACATGCCTTAAGTAATATCATTGCTCAGGGTTTTTGGCTTCAGGGGTAGTGTGTTAATATCCTAGGGCTACATTAACAAATGACCATAAACTTGGTAGCTTAAGCAAACACAAGTTCATTCTCCTTCTTGTTCTGGAATTCCCTGGGAGAGGCAAGGTATTTAAAAAGCATTATCTGTAAGAAAGATGTCAGCTTCTCAACGTGGCCTACAGGCCATTTTATCATACTGTTCTTTTGGCCGGTGACTTGTCACTTACAAGGGACACTTTTCCACTGAGTGATATTCGCTCCAGTTCTTAACTGATTTTTGTAATCAGAAATCGCAAACATTTGTAAGTATTGATAGTGTGGTGTAATGAGCTCATTCATCCTCCCAGCTTCAACAAGTAGGAGATTAAGGCCAATCATTTGCATCCCATTTTACTCTCTCCACTCCTAATGCAGGATTAGGAGCAAATCCCAGACATCACATTATTTTACTTATAAATATTTGTGTTCCTCTAAAAAATAAGGAGATTTAAAAATATAGCCACATTACCATTGTATTTAAAACAAAGTTTATACTTCAATATTAACAAATAGTCCATCTCCTAACTTCTCAGTTGATTCAAACTGTTTCGTTTTCTTTGTTAAAGCTTTTTGTTTTTGTTTATCTATACATTCTATTTTCTTTATCTATAGACTCTCCATTTCTCTCTCTTCTTTTTCTTATCATATACTTTCTTGAAGATTATGAGTTGCTTTTCTGTAAAAATTACACATGTTCAAGATGTTCTTAGATGTAGCTGATTTCATCTCCTCTTGTCATTAATATGAAGGGGGTGGAAAAAGATTCATGGAAAATTTTCATTACCTGTTAGTTCCCTCTGGTAAAGTCATTGTACGTAGTTAGAGCTCAAGGCTTCCACCCCATCCCGTGGCCAGTAAAAGTGCATTGCTGATGTCATGCGCTTCCTTAAGAGAGGTGGGTGTCTTTGTGATGTTGGAGCTCTGGTGGCACTGTGATTCAACACTGGGCTGCTAGGGGGAAGGCTGGCAGTTGAACCCACCAATTGCTCCACGGGAGACAGAGGTAGCAATTTCTCCTCATACACAGTGCAGCTTTGGAAACCCCACGGGGTCCGTCTATCCTGTCTAAGGGGTTGCTGTGAGTCAGCATCAATCAATGGCAACAGGACTGGTCTAGGTTTGAGATGTAAGCAGCCACGGACACCATTGCCACTGTTGCTACTATTGCTGTTTCATTCCAGTTGGAATGCTTCTGTAAGGAGAGACTTTTCTTCATCCATGGTTGTTTATCCTGAGATATCATTCTTATAAAAAGAAAGAATAAATGTTTGATGTTTATTTCTGTTTTCAGAATAAGGAATTGAATCCCCAGTGTTCTTAGAGGTATTTTTAGCTCCACGGTTATCGTTTGGCATATCCACAATACACTGTAACAGTCTCAAAGTAACATTACCAACACTAACACCAACAATATAATTACAGCAAACAATTTAAGAATTTCCCCTTTTGATTATAACCCACCAGGGAGGTAAATAAAATCACTGTGTTTGAAAGCACTCTGCCTGATGACGTCACCAGCTCAGTACACAAGGAGATGACTCACCCCCTTTCTGCAGACATTTTGAATGTTGTGTTGTTTAGTATCTGGTTCCTGCCACAAAGACTTTATATTTTAGGCAGGGTGAGAAATACCTAATTTTGACCACAGAGTCTTCCCAAATCAAAATGTTAAGTATGCACAACTGGAGAAGAAGGCAGTTCACGGAGACATAAGAAAGAAAAACTCTAAGAAAGCTGGTCCTTAACTAATCTGTGAAAAGAAGCAAAAAATATGTTTGAGCAGAGAAGGAAGCAGTATATATACAAATGAATACTGCATTAAAAAGTGGTCCGAGTTGTCGTCCCAACTCAGCTATTATCGCACTGTGTGACATCAACCAGTCCTTTTGCTTTTCTGGTTCTCACTATTTTAATATATGTAAAAGTAATTAACATGTCACTTGTTTGTTTTGCTGTGAACCTTATTTCACTACACACTTGGGGACAACTAAGTAGATGTCTTCAGTGTATCACATGGTACAGGGTTGCCTTTGACCATCAGTAACTGGAAACCCTACAGTGGTGGCTTCAACAGAAATGTCTTTTTTCAAAGTGAAGCATGAAATCTGAGGTGGCAAGTCCTGGTTTGCTATGAGTTGGAGTGATTTGTATTATTGGAATAGATATGTTGATGAGCCAGCCTATCATATTGATCATAGATGACTTCCAGCTGTCATATATTATCTCGTTTATCCACATCTTGATGGCTCACTAATACTACAAATGGAAACAACTGGAACTTAGACTTAGATCACTAAGATTTCTCCTGCTTCAATTTCAGTCTGGCTTTTTATTCTCTGTGCTAATTTTTGGAAGTCATTTGACTCCTGGCACTTAATTAATTCTTAGTGAAATAGATTTCATTAGCTTAATGGTGTCTTCCAATATCATTCTCATAGTAAATATAACTTTATTCTCATCTTTATATACTTCTGGATGTACAAATTAATGTATAATATTTAAACTTGGCTTTCTTTTTTCCTCCTAGGATTTCAAGCACACGAAGTCATTTATAATTTAAAAAAATTGCATCTTTCAGATACCACAAAACTACAATTGCTACATGAGTTATTAAAAGATTATAAAACCTTGCTTTGTCTTACATTTACATAGAGGTACATGAGGAAATAAAATTGGTATCTTATGATTTTGATGACATCTGAAACTGTCATTTGAAACAAAAAATTCTGGTAACACTTGAAATACAGTCTAGTGTCTTGTGTCAGGACAATGTTAAACAAATCAAAATACTCTGTAATATCCCCAGGTTTGTGAAATAGTAACAACTGCTCGAACTTCCAGAAAACGTTGCTAAGATTCCTCACTTGTGAAGTGAATTGAAGGGATTCAAAAAAATACTGAGATGCAGAAAAAAACCTTTGGTCTAATTTCTCCTAGAATCCTCTCTTCTCCCATCATATAATCATTATTCTGCTGCTTGTTTATCACTAACATGCACAGAAGGGGGCGGGAGGGAGCGAGGTCACATCTTGTAACCAGCGTTCAGTGCTCTGTGTTTACTTTAATTTCTGTAAGCCAAAAACATGAAGAAAACCAACTAATGGATGTAGGCTCATCTGGGGTCTGTCCGTCATGTCTTCATTAAACATAATTCTGAGCGTTAAACAAAGCTCGAGTGGCTTCTTTCCCTCCCGGGGCTGCCTGTTGCTGTTTCCTTCCTCTCCCACCCCCTGGAAGAGGACCAGTGGCTGCTGAGGCAGGCTCCGTGTCCTGCAGCCTGACTTCAGAACTCACGTGGCTGAAGCCCACAGACACAGCAGGTAACCTTCCTGTGTGAGCCGTGATGACTTCACTCTCGGCCTCTGGTGACATTCTGCCCCCAAGGTCAAATGACCACATTAGTCAGAGGTCGGCCTATGATATACACTAGGGGCCAGAAAGTGAGTGGTGACTTTTGTAGGCTGTCAGGTCCCAGACTGAGTCAACTCGGCCATTGTAGCACGAGAGCCACCCTAGAAAATAATAAACAGACGGGGTAAGGGTGTTTCAATAAATTGACAGAATTAGGCAGCAGATAGGATTTAGCCTACGAGTATAGTTTCCAATTACCTAGCAAGGAACCATCAAGAACACCTGTATGTTTTAGTGAGAAATCAGTGAAATGTTGTCCATGGCTTGGATTGACGTGTTCACTCAGCTATGAAGACCTTCTTGCATTGCCAAGTGCCAGGGAAATAGATGTGTCTCAAAGAGGCCTCTGGAGGTATTCCTTGTGCAATACCCAAGATCAAAGTATTCAAACTTTTTTTTTTTTTAATCATTTAATAGGGGCTCATACAACTCTTATCACAATCCATACATACATCAATTGTGTAAAGC